ATAATACACCAAAAGTACCTAGAATTCTATGGGACATAGACTGTCAGGAAATGTTGAGTGTACCTCTTAGGAGGGGGAAGTGAACAAGTTTACAAGAAGACTTCAAAATGCAAATAGATAATTTAAGAATATGCAAATTGGAAAGGATTTAAGAATGAGGAAGAATTTGAGAATAGAGAAATCAAGATGTAAAGCAAATTTTTCATATTTACTTTGACCTCCTGGATTGCATACTATTCTGGAAATGGAGCTTTTAAGCTTCTGCCATGACAGAGAAGTTTTGGGGGGAAAATCCCATAGATGACCACAGGCTAAAAGTGCACAGCTAAGAGGGGAGTTTCCAAAGGAGTTGGCTTTTGTCCAAGGCTCAGGTTGCTCATCCAATGTGCCCCCGACAGTAGAAATTTGCCCTGGTCTAGCATCACTACTTTTGCATAGCTAATGGGAGTCAGTACTGGAAATCCTCAGGAAGGGAAATGAACTGTTAACACTTGCCCTCAAGACTTGACTTCCTTTCAATGATCTCCACATATAGTTGCAGATTACCAGCCCTGACTAAATTTGGAGCTGAGCCCTATGGTTTTCTCAGTCTTGGTTTCTCTAAAAGCCAGCACTAACAAATGAGGACAATACTGTCATGCAATAGAGTTACATATCTTTTCCTAATCTGTGGTGAAGGCAACCATGTGTAGGCAGTTTTATATAAGCAACAGACATACAGAGAATGGGGGGGAAGCATTTCAGACTACATACATCATGGGATTTTGACAGTGAACACTTCACTGACATTTCAGTCCTCGACATCACATTCCAGATAGAGTATAAAAAAATGTTTTATTCAGTAACAAGCACAGGACAGTGGAACAGGATGGAGTTTAGATTTTCATAGATTTCACCTGACTGAGTCATTTAACCTTTTTCGGTGTCCATTCTCTCATCTTCAAAGTAGCACTCCTTTCTTTCACTTTTTAAGACTGAATCATTTAGATTAGCAAACCAGACTGTACCTTGGAATGCACATTATGTGACATATTTATATCTCCAGTGCTTGCAAAACTTAGACATGTAGAGTATTTAGTGAATGAACGAATGAATGGCATATGGAAACACAGTATAGAACTTGCTTGATAAATATAAATATTCAATAAATGTTAGTTTTCTCTGGCTAAAACAGCAGCGAGGTTATCTTCAGAGTTTATCCTGAGGCATTAACAGCTCCTTTCCTCAACTCTGGGACTTGAATTTTGGCCAAGATAAGGATTATGGGAGATATATTGCCAAATGTGGAAATTATCATTTGCCTACTTTCAAAAGAGTGGTACGGAGGGGACATGTAGCAAAGAATCAGATCACGACAAAATGCTTCACCTGAATGAAATTTCATTTTTCTTCTCTGAATCCCATACTTTAGTGTTTGGTATAAAAGTGAATTATTTTGGGAACTGACACATTCCTTTAGATGCCTGATATTTAGGAAAATTTGTTCAATATAAATACACCTCAAAATTTTCCTCTGAATTAAACTGTTATTTACTCTATTTTTCATATGAAAAGTCTGAGTATATTATTTAATTGAAGTAACACATACATCATTCAATATTCTAGCAACATATAAATGATGTAATTTTAAAATGATTTAATGACCATTGTCATATGTGATCATCTCATTAATTATATTATAAATAATTAATTTCTTGTTGCTGAGATTGTGAAAGATTATCATAACTTAAACTATGTATTTTATTTTCTGGACAAAAGAAACATTTTTTTTCAAAAGAAACATTGATAGAAAAGCAACATTTACAACGAACATCAAGGACTACTTTGAACATCTACTTATAAATTATTAAAAATAAAAGCATAAAATATAGCATATAAATGACATAAGAGGAAATGAATGCACAAATTAAATTTTGGTTAAAGATTTCTTTTCAAATAATCAGCACAGGAAAGGATGAAATAATGTCATTTTTTTGAAGTTACTTTTTCATCCTTGAAGACAGACTTTGTGTTAGCAATCTTAGAGTTTGATTTTCAGCAAATCAAGACGTCAGTGGAGTATTCATAAATCTCTACCCATGATGGAAATTTGAGTTAATTGGCATTATGAATTCTCAGTGTGATAATTCAGGACTGGCATTGATGTGTATGACTTTTCAAGTTAGGCAAACTAAGACTATAAGAATGACTTGTAAACCTAAGATATATAGTTTTGTGTTCTGACTACAAAATTCAAATGTTCCTGAATTCACAGAATCAACCTAAATTAAGAAAAGAAGTGGATTACCTGTGGGAAAGCATAGATTATTTTGAGGGTTGGTGGTGATAAAGAACTAAAGCAATTTTCCAAATAATAGGCAATACCTTTTCTTAAAGGCTATCTTTTCTTTATGAATAGTAAAATACAAAATGAGTTCTCAATTTATATTTTTAAAGAAAGGCTCAGTATCACAGCTTTTAAGTTCAGAATTTAGAAAAATTAACCAGGAGGTGGACATATATTGTGAACTAAGAAGGGAGATCCATGTCTTTACTTGACCTACTAGTTTTTACCCTGCTCCAAGGAAGTGGCTGCATATACTAGTGGGTCAACACCCAGACTTTTGGATCTGAAATTACTTCCATTAATCTATGCTTTGCATTTGAAAAAAGTGGATCTTTTCCTTTGCACATAGTTTATGCTTATGGATGTTGAATTTAGCCTTCTCCCATTGATGGTAACATCAATGCAGTTTCTTTTTCTTTTTCTTTTTTTTCTTCTTTTTTTGGCAGAACCAGGGATTGAACTTGCCAGGGAAGCACTTATTTTACTAAGTCATCTCCCTGGCCCCCAGTGAAGTTCCTTAAGTGAAATTTTTAAAGTGGTTTTATCTTTATTCCTAGAGTCTCTAGCTTCTCGCTGGAATGGAAATCCCTCCAAAGCTGCCCTGTCCTTATAGGGCAATGGTACCTTGCTTAGCCTCTATTACCCACTTCCTGTTAGGGGCCAAGAGTTGTCTTTGTTTCCCAGTCCCCACTAATATTGCAGAAAACTCCTGCTCAATGGTTTCTGGCCTGCCTTAAATGTTACCCCAGACAATATTACTGAGTGCAGTCTACATTTCTCAGCCAGAGCGTCTTGTTTAGGTTGATATACCAATCTCCAGTCACTGGGAAATTGGCTGTTAATGTTCAAGCTGTGTTTCCCAATGAGCTCTGATTTACCCAAAGTCAGTCCTTTCTAGTGGAGAAAGCAAACAAAGCCAGAGTGACAAATGGGGATCTACAAAAAAGCCAAGTTCCTTTGCCTTGTTTTGGGAGAACTCTAAATGACCCATCCCAGCTTCCTATACGGATCAGCTGAAGGCTCAAATGCAATGAAATTGTAGGCCTGTTTCTTCTAATCTCACCTTCTCAATGAACCTTATCCATGCCACTCTCAGATTCTAAATCTGTGTCCCAAGAAACTAGTTCGAGTTAGGGGAAGTTATTCATAAATCTGTAATGACTTAATTATGATGAACAGCTCTTCTTGGAAACTTTTGATGTTCTCCCATACCCATCTCAATCCTAAGCATCAAAATCATTCTATTTGTTAGAGGATCCAGGGCCGGGAAGATATCTCGGTAGAATAAATGCCTGCCTGGCAAGCGCAGGGTGCTGAGTTCAATCCCTGGTATCGGAAAACAAACAAACAAACAAACAAACAAAAAAATTGATAGAGGATCCATGGAGTCAGCGCTTCATCCTAGAACCTAGAACCTAGGCCCCAGCTCTGTCCACTGTCTGTTCTCTTTCCTTTAGAGCATACTCCTCACATTCTGCTGCCTGAAAGCTGAGTGTGTTACACTCAATACTTTAGTTAGATGTGACTGTACGTTAGGACCCAAGTCCCACTGTAGTGCAGTGATGCTCACAGTTTTAGTGTCATGTCTGGCTTCTGGAAAGTTTAGTAGCTCACTAAGAGAGATTCCTTTGCTTCTACAATTATGTCATTCAACAGCTGATCAGAACCATGTCACTAGAACTGCGACCTGTCTTTTCAAGACTTAAAATATTTGCAAAATAACAAAGTCTCTATATGTTTTAGAAAACATAAAACTTTCAGAGACTCATGGTACTGTTTAACTCTATTGTTTGCTTAGTGGTCTATACTGCAAACAGTAAGGTACTCAGTTTACTATTGTATCTGAAAAGTATCAACATCCTCTCTATTCGGTAGCATATAATCAAAAGACACTATGATAAACTTGCTGAGAATCACTTTTTTTTTTGAGAACCACTTCTGAGACACAACTTTTTAGTAATTGGTGTGTGGGCTATATTTTCAGTGGACTTTATACAAATGATTTTTTTCAGATGATTTTAATAACTCCTCAATTCATTGCAAAGCAATCTACCTAAACCCACACTTTGAGAGGTGAGGTGGGGTGAGACTAGAGATTGCATCTATGCATTCTAGGCAAGATCTGTACCACTGAACTGTACCTCTAGTCCTGAGCCAAGATTCAACCCATGTTGTCCAAAGTATGTGGAAGAATACAAGAAGAGCTTTGTAGGTCTTCATACATAATACTCTTCCTGTCAAAGTGTATTTAGATTGTCAAATCTAATGAATCATCAGCCCTCTGGTAGTATATGCCGTAGCTTCTTAATGTATCCTGAGAGGTCCTGGAATTAGAGTTATCTGGAATTGCATGAAAAATGCACATTCATAATCCCACCTCAAGTCTATTACATTGGGATTTGGAGGCATCCTTCCTGGAAGGTATACATGTAATAAACTTCTTGCATACTTTTTAAAATTAATTTTATTGAGAAATAAATAGCAATGAGACAGTTTCAAAACCAATTAATAGGACAGTTTCAATAACTAGTACATTGCATATTATTGTCTTCGTAGTAGTTATTCATAGTACAAGATGCAGACATGATATCCTGTCCAAACACTATTAGTACAAATCTTTTCTTCTCATTGAATTAAGAGAAAGTAGCTGTGTATCTATCCTAACTATTTTGTAAAATATTTGGAACGCTTCATGAATTTTTGTCATCCTTGTGCAGGGGCCATTCTAATCTACTCTGTATCGTTCCAATTGTAGTATATGTACTGCCGAAGCAAGCACTCTTACGTACTTTTTGATGCATGCTGCTAGTTAAGAGCCAGAGTTATCAAGTGGGATTAGAGAAACTAGAGGCCTGCCCTCTTCATAGGGAAATTGTGAGTCTGAGACTCAGAATTTCCATTTTACCCCTCTGTTCTTCTTTTTTCTAGCAAATTTCTTCTCAGCATCTAGGTCTCTCTTTCGATAAGCTCTTACTCATCTCTGTTTCTCTTCCTCATACTCCATCACTCCTCCTAACCTTTTCTAGTCAAACCTCTATCATCAGATGAGGTCCTCACCCAAGCTTCATGGCAGAAAATAGATTTATCCAACTTACATGTGTACAAGTGTGTACCTACAAGGCCCTTGGTTTGCCAGAGTAATGTTTATGAATTGTATCCCTCCTTTCTTCTTTTGTTTATTCCTCTCTCTCTCCGCATTCCCTCCCTCCCTCCTGCCTTTCCTTCTTTCCTGCTTGCTTTCTATTTCACATGGGGGTGAGAAATTTCTAAGGACAAAAAACCAAATGGCAGAAAAATATTTGTGCAGTGCTTATCCACTAGATTACTGCCCTCTACTACACCTTGCTTTATCTTAAAACAAAACTACTACATTTTTAAATTTTCTTTTCTCTACTTCTCAACTTAGCATTTCTCCAAAAGTTCTTTATATATATATATTTTTTTTACAATGACAGTCTTGGAAGCAATAATTAGAATTCAAATAGGGTATAGGCAGGAAATAATGGGGCTGAAGATTGGGAATTTATCTCTTCTAAATATCTACCTTATAATCCCTAAATATTTTTCTGATTTATCTGGCTACTTTGGTAATGTCGGACGCTGCCTCCTCAGCCTGGCTATGGTGTACTGCATATCCAAGAAAGCTCCAGTCTGATTGCAGGATCCAGAAAACAATGAAAATATTTACTAAAAGCAAAGAGGTGAAATGGGTTTCATGTTATGCATTGCATAGAAAGCTCCTGAAAGGACCGGCCAAATAGCTCAGTGGATTAAAGCACCTGTAAGCAGGCACAGGAGCCAGGGGTTCAATCCCCAGGCCTGCCATACTGACCCTGCCCCCAGGGCACACTGAGATAGCAATTGAGACTCAGTGCAATAGTGCGCGCCTATAATCCCAGCTCTTGGGAGGCTGTAAACAGGCGGATCACTACCAGTCTGATCTAGTAGTGAGACCCTGTACACCCTGTAGACCCTTCCCTGAAATACAAAAAGAAAGAAAAAGAGAAAAAGAAAAAGAAAGCTTCTGAAAACTGTCTAGTCTTCTCTATTTCTCCTTAGAAATTTCCCTATTACAGTGAATCCTGCCTACTCTCTCAAAAAAGTGCCTCTACTGTTTCAAGATCTTAGGTCCATCTTGTCTCCTACTCTGCATCCTCAAATGCCACTGACTCTCCAGGTGCATCTGCCCTGGAAAGAGATACCTGTCTCTTATTAAGCAGATACCTGTCTGCTTATCTTATTATAGATAAGCACTTGGGATTATCTGCCACTTTGTATTAATTATGCTGTTGCCACTGTCTTGTTGTGAGTTGCTGATTCTGATAAAAATGTAAAATATATCCAAGATTAAAATCAAGTTACTGTAGAGGAAAGAAGAATTACATTATTTAAGTATACATGCTAAGACCAGCTGCTATTTGCATGGATTGCTTCATCTTTGCAGTGATCCTCTGAAGAGAATATTGTGGCTTCTCATTTGACAAATGAGGAAATTGGGGCTCAGAAAGCTAATTATTATGGTTTGTGTCTAGTTGTCCCCCCAAAGCCTCATGCAGTCATGGGGCGGGGACTTCTGGAGTTTATGATTAACTCATGATCCACTGGGATTAGGTGTGATCCAAAGCTGGGATTATGGGTCTTAGTACTTCTGGGATTATGGGTGTGAGTACTTCCCCCAGCCTGAGGCAGCGAGCCTGAGTGTAATATAAGAGAGACAGACAGACTTTCTCTCTGTAGCCATTGTTGTTCCACTATCATGAATGGATGCTCTCTGCACTTGGATCCAGCTGAGCATGGACTGAAATACTGAAACCTCCAGTAATTGTGAGCTAAATAAACTTTTCCTTTCTTCATTTTGGGTGCCAGATATTTGCCCCAGCAACGAGAGAAAGTAACTGAGACAGTAATGTATTTGCCCAAGGTTGCAAAAGCAAAAACAGTAACATCAAGATGTGCGTTCAAGTCTGTGAGACTTCCCAGGCTGTAGCCTTTATCCACAATAATACATTGCCTTTTGATGCTGGATTTTATTCTACTTTGGGGAGTTGTCTTCTGCTTGCTTTACCTACTTTATACATGATGAAGCATCATTTCCGTCTAGTTAAGCTTTTAACACCAAAGAGAAACATACATCATATTTCTACATATGAAAAGCCATTTGGATTGTTTGTTAGAGGATTGTTGTTTTGCAGGATCTCGCACATAGTAATTGCTGACCCAGTGCAAGAATCTAACACGAATTGCCAGAGTCTTATTTATTATATTGTACTAAAGCCAGAAAACCTAGAAATCTAGTTTGGTTTTGGCTTTCCAGCTCCTAGCTGAAAGAGAGCCAGGTAGAACAAACTGCTTTTCTCATTGTCTTTTTTTTTTTTTTTTTTTTTTTTTTTTCCAAAGGCCCCAAGCTAAGACATCAATCACTTTTTCTCCTACATTCCAACTTGAGTAGAGTATGATTCAGCCCCTTTCATTTAACTGTCTTCTCTTTTCCATTCTATTACTTTATTTGTTATTTCTCCCTCAATCTTAGTTTCTGGGCATATAAAATGTTATAGTGCATGATTTTAGTGATTTAGATACATAGATTCCAGCTTCCTTTTAAGGCCAAAACTATGGATAATGCTTTGTTTTACTGTCCCTTATCTATTGAGCTGAGCTGTAAGCACCCATTAGCATGGGTTCCAGGTCTCATTAATTTTTTTTTTTTCAGGTCTCATTAATTTTTGTAGCCTTCTGTGCCTCTGCCTTTCTTTTTCTGTCTCTGCCTCTCTTCATCTCTCTGTCTTCCGCTTTCCATGATGCTTATTATTCTAGCGTCTCACACATTAAAGGTCTTCAATAAGTGCTTATTAAAATCTCTATATAAATAAATAAGGGTGACAAAACCATATTGGTGTGTGTGTGTGTGTGTGTGTGTGTGTGTGTGTTCACTAGCACACAGATAGCTTTAATGTCTCAATAGTTTAAAGACTTATAGCTATCTAAATGTGTTCAGATATGTGAAATTGGCAAAAATTAGTAATCATTTTAGGTGTTTTGGCTTCATGTAACAGACTGACTAAGCATGACTTCAGGACTAGGGTTAAATGGTATGATTTGCAGATCTCAGGGAGCATAGTTTCAAAGCTAGTACACAAACAATATCATCCAGGGTTTGGGCTCTTTACAGTCTTTACTGTTGCCAAGTGCTCATGACTACCAGATGGATCCTTTGTAGTCACTCCTCTTGTCTTCCTGGAACTTCAAAGGTGGGGGGAAGGGAAAGAAGAGGACAGTGTCTTCACACATTTTTGTCGTCTGTCCACTGAGGAAATTTCTGCAAGAGGGCCTTCAGTTTACTTTGCTTTTCCTCTCATTGACTGAAGAGGGTCACATGCTCAACCCTGTACCATTGGCATCTGATGAAAAGGATTAGCACATTCCATGACTGGATTAGACCACTTAGTGTACACCCTTTGGAAGAGACAAGGGCTCTGCCTTTTCCAAAGTGCATCTAAGTTAGCTCATGTTATTTTGTACTGGATAAACATCAGGATTCTGATCATAAGGGAGAAATGAGAAATAGCTGTCGTGGAGGAAAACAGCAGCATCTGTTACATCCCATATGAAATAATTTGTCAAAAAAAGAAAAAATTTGTCACAAATGGATTCAGCCAGATATATGAGCTGGTTTATGAAATACTTAGAACCAAAAATGGAATACACGTTCATATTTATTTGTTGTATGTCTAATGTATCTTATGTTATTTAATCTTCACATTGTCAATCTAGGACTATTTACCAACTTACAAATATGAATACTAAGTCTTAATAATACCAAAAATTTCTCAAATTTGCATATAGTAATAATGTTTAGATTTAAATTTATGTCTTTTTGATCATTTAAACCTATGCTCTTTCTAGAACTTTCTTACAGTTGGGGATTTTTTTTTTCTCTTATGGGAAACCTTAACCAGTCTTGAAGTTCCATGATCAAGAAAAAATATTGTAGCTCAGCACTTCTTAATCACAGTTGCAAAGACTCCTATGAGAATTCAGGCCATTGTGAGGTTTGGTATATGTCTCTACTTCCTGTTATGCTAAACTTCAAAGTTTGATAGTGTTCTCTTTTATTCATCCATGTTTTTGATAATAATGTACACTCCTTGTGAGAGGGTGGTATGTGAACATAATATACCTTAATTACCTTTTTATCCCTTTCATTTTTGTTCCTTTCTCCTTCCTCCATATCTTGGTCCCCTTCCCATTTGAGAAAGATCTGTCTCTTTGCTTCCAATTGTCTACCTTTCACTCTACGCTTTATTTATATTTTGGGTTTCTCTTTTAAGAGACACCATGTAATACTGTACTTAAACTTGTGCATCTGATTTATTTCTCTTAATGTTATGATCTCAATGGAAATAAAACCTCACTCTCACTCACTTGTCTTCTATTATAAAGCAAAGTCGTAGGTCAGAGACAGATGCCATGAATTTCATGGAACCTGCAACCTAATCCACGGCAAACACTCTTGTCCGTGCTTCTCACAGAGGAGCCCTGTGTAACACAGATATCTGGACACCAAGAGTATTGAGACTCATGAGTTATCGCACTTATTCCTGGCACCAAAAGTTTGGAAAGTCTCTTTTCAGGTTGTAGCTACTGCTTCTGGAGACCGTGATGTTATGCTTTTTGATATTTTCTTGGCATGAGTTAACCTGAGAAATAGTTCCATCCATTCTGCATCTGTGAATGCCTATCTAATGTCCATTTCCCCTTCCCTTTGCAGCAGCCCAAATT